GGCGGGCAGGTCGCCCTGGGCTGCCCACGTCGACGCCAGCGCCGTGCTCGTCGCGGGCGTGGGGGCCATGGTCGTCGGGGGGTCGCGAGTCGTTCCGAGGGGCCTCAGTATCAGCGCATGCCGGGTGAAGCCGGCTGCATTCGAGCCGAAGTGGGTCGTAGGTTTGCGTCACTCTGAGTCTGGGCAGCGAAGACTTTGCGTGTTTTATTTGAGGCCAAGATGCACTGCTCCTCGAGGTAAATCACTGCTCAGCTCGGGGCTCTGCGGCAGCAGCTCGCGGCACCGCGCTGCTCGTCGCTCGTCGCCGCGCAAACGCGTCGTCCAGCCATGCAAACGATGCTCCGCAGACCGATCGCGCTGCTGCTGCTGCTCGGCGGCGCGAGTGGTCTCGACGCGCGCACCGCGAAGCCTCTCATCAGCCGGCGCCACGCCTGCGCCGCCGCCGCGTCCTGCGTCGCCGCGCCCTTGGCCGCCGGGGCCGCGTCGCCCTTCGACGGCGAGTACAGCGACCCGAACCACCCCTCTGGCTTTCGGCGCATCACGACGGTCGGCTCCGCGGCGACGATCGTCGGCCAGGACGATCCGGGCTCCGCGACGTGGCGCATCGCCGGCCGCGTCGACGAGGGCACCATCGCGCTCAAGGTCGAGCAGGGCAGCGTCCAGCCGCCCGAGGGCACGACGCTCGAGGACTTCGCCGGCGACGGCACCATCGTGCCCGTCTTCCGCGGCAAGCTCGCGCCCGGCGGCCGGGGCATCGCGTGGCCCGACGGGAACACGTGGTCGCTCAAGTAACACGTGTGGCCCGCTCAGGTAGTTAGGACGGCGCCTTGGCGCGCCACTGGGGCTTGGTAAACACGGGCGTCTTCACCGACGGCGCCCTCACGGTCGGCGCCTTGACGACGGGCGCCTGCCACGTCGGCGCCTGCCACCGCGCGCCGAAGAGCGTCAGGCTCCAGGCCGACGCGAGCGCCGTGCCGGCGATGAACGCGACGCGGAGCGCGCCGCCCTTCACGAGCTCGATCTTCGCCTCGTCCTCGAGGGACCGGTCCCGGGGCAGCGGCGCGATGAGCGACGTCGCGAGGTTCCGGGCCGCGTCGCCGACGCGCTCGCGCAGCGTCGGCGACCCGCGGACGACGTCGCCGGCGATCGTCACGGCGGCCCCGTCGACGGACACGTCCAGGACCGCGCCGCGGGGCGAGTCCTGCACGGCGCGCATGGCGCCGGCGTGGCGCGGCGCCCAGTAGGGCCCGAGGCCGCAGTGCGCGACGCCGCAGGCCTGGTCCTCCGCGCCGCCCACGAAGCACCGGCTCCGGAACGCGACGGGTTTGATGCCCCTGGTCGTCACGGAGACGACGCGGCCCAGCGCCTTGAGCGCCTGCGCGTCGACGGCGCCGAGAGCCTCGTAGGCGTCGCCGTCGAGTTCGAGCACGAGGTCCGTGCCCGAGTACAGCGCGGCGCCGAGGCACGCCTCCAGCCGCAAGACGGCGAGCGCGTCGTCGACGAGCGACGGCGGCGGCTCCGACGCGGGGCCGGCCTCGAGCGTCAGGGACACGGCGCCGGCGGAACGGGAGGCGGCGACGGTGCCCGCGAGCACCGCGTTGAAGGACCCGGACGCGCCGTCGTCGAGCGCTTCCTTGGCCGCCGCGAGCGTCGCGTGGCCGCAAAACGTCATCTCCGAGCCGTCACACGCAAAGTAGCGCACGTCGTACGGGCCGGCGCCTCTGACGATCGCGGTTGGGCCGCCGTGCTCTGCGCGTTGCGCGAGCGCCGCGAGCTCGTCGTCGGCCGGCCAGTCGGCGACCAGCGCGACGCTGGCGGGGTTGCCGGCGCCGCGGCTTTTCGTGAAGGCGTGCAGCTCGACGGCTTTGAGCGCAGCGGCGGCTTGGAGCAGCATCAGGAGCATTGCTTTGCACCTGGCGCCGAGG